GTTGTCTAGATTTCTAAAGTCCCTTCTAATTATAAATTCTAGTTTCTAACAATATGACATGTGAATTTAATGTATACTATGTGTAAAACTTTCAGACATACACAAAGAAGTATTACTCAAAGAAGAAAAAGAAAACAAAGTAGTCAAATGAAAACATAATACCATGGTACCTGAGCTCAAAGGAGCAGGATGCAGGCCCCATATGCCGGAGGTGATAGGTTCAAACCCAGACCTGCCAAAAACTGCAAAAAAAAAAGAAAGAAAGAAAGAAAGAAAATAAACAGATATATATATAATCAAGACTATGAAGAAAATAAAAGAATGACAAAATATAAATAGAATGGGTGGAGCACATACTTTAGGAGAACAATCTACAAAACCCAGCTTGGGTGGCATCTGTGGCTCAGTGGGTAGGGCGCCGGCCCCATATACCAAGGGTGGTGGGTTCAAACTTGGCCCAGCCAAACTGCAAGAAAAAATAGCCTGGCGTTGTGGTGGGCACCTAAGGTCCCAGCTGCTCTAGAGGCTGAGGCAAGAGAATCACTTAAGCCCAAGAGTTGGAGGTTGCTGTGAGCTGTGCTGAGGGAGGGTGATGCAGTGAGACTCTATCACAAAACAAACAAACAAAAAAACAGTCAATACTTTGGTGAAACGGTTTCAATTTATCAAGAGTCTCTCTACCCCCACCCCTCACCCTGCCACCCATTTAGGCAGAAATCCTTTAGCAGTTTCACCCTGTAATGGTTTTACCTTCCAAGAGAGCCGCATTTTGATGGAAACATTCTCCTGCCAACTTCAAAGTTTGCTGTGGGAGTAAAAAATATAGACACAAGTTAGCACTTTTATTTGAAAGGAGGAATGAAGGACGGGAAGAAATAAAAAGAGTAGCTATTGTGCTCAGATTTGATAAAATGAAATTTTTTCTTCCTATTGTTTGCTTCTCCCAGCACCTTTCCCCTGAATCCCTATTGAATTTAACAATACTTCACTTAAGACTAGGCATGGTGGCTCATGTTTGTAATCCTAGCACTTTGGAAGGCCAAGATGGGAGGGTTGCTTGAGATCAGGAAATTGAGACCAACCTAAGCAAAAGCAAGACCCCATCTCTACAAAAACACAAAAATTAGCTGGGCATGGTGGCACGTGCTTTTAGTTCCAGCCATGGAGGCTGAGGCAGGAGGATCCTTTGAGCCCAGAGGTTGAGTTTGCTGTGAGCTATGATGATGCAGAGCTCTTAAAACCGCATTTTAGACTGTAGTATCAGCACTCTGGGAGGCCAAGGCAGGAGTTCAAGATCAGCATGAGCTAGCTAGAGCAAGACACCTGTCTCTAAAAATAGCCAGGCATTGGCCTGGCGCCTATGCT